TGGTCTAGTTCACCAAACCATCCATGAAAATCGCCAGTTTTGCAGCTCAAATCCCCCCTTTTTTTTTGGACAAACATCCTCTCGTTGGGCAGTTTGTATACTCCCAGTGTATGTCCGCCACCAATCCATCAATCCATTGATATTCATAGCCTGGAGTCAACGTGAAAAAATGTGGAAAACCCATGCTGAAAGCCGTTCGGGAAATGATCGACATTCATGATGGCTTCTCCTCGTAATATCAACGTTTCCAGGAGGGTATCCAAATTCCAAAAGGAAACTGTTCCCGTCACGAATCCCATCTCAACATCTTTTTTCCCCCATAGAACTATGGTCCCAATGGAATGTGGAAATTCCCAACAAAAAAACCATAGGATGGGAATTATTAAACTTTATTAAACTTTATTAAACTTTATTAAACTTTATTAAACTTTACTGGGATGGTATTATTAAATTCCCATAGTTCCTACTGGGATGGGATTATTAAACTTTATTAAACCCCCATCTCATCGCAGCGCGGGGCCTCGGCCGTGCAGCCCAAGCGGCGGAAGATGGACTCAATGCAGGTCCTGCGGAGATGGATGGGGAAGGAGGTCATGGGGATATCATGGGGATTTCACTGGAATTCATTGGGATTTACCCGGTAATCTAAGAGTTTGCTATTGAAGCCATGGCCCATAAAAATAGTTGATTTACCTATTAAAAGTGAGCATGTTCCATAGCTATGTTAGTTTACCAAAGGGCTAATGGATGTTTAATGGATCGAATCGGAATTTGATGGGTTTTCATGGGATTTGATGGACATTTAGCCTCTGCTAATCAAACATGGCTTGCTGGAAAATCCCCCGTTGATAGATGATCTTCCCAGCTATAAACTTTCATTTATTAGGGATTTCAATTTGCTACGGTTGACCCCCCATATGTGACTGGGTTAGATTGTGGTAAACCCAAGAATACTACATAATCATACCCGGTTTATCGCACTTGAAAAGTTCCAGGGTCCAAAGGACCATACCCGGTTTACCATGGGTTCTCACCCCGCCAACAGTATCCAAGAGTCACCAGCTCACCAACGGGCCACTTTAATCATCACACATTTTTTGTACCCCCAACCTTCAATCTCCACGTTTACCCTCCGGTAATCAAAAGTGGCAATGGAAAATCCACCATTTAGTTTGATGATTTTCCCAGTTATTTTTACGTCTAGTGCGGAGATTTTCCAGCCAGCCACGTTTAAGGACACCGGAGGGTAGTGGAGTCTCAGACCCGCCAAACAGACCCTTAAGAACGACTCTTAGTCTCCAAATAACTGTGATCACCGCAAGGTTTTCCACCGACTTCACTGTGGCCGACAATTCCCATACGAGGTGGTGGACATCATATCCCCCATAAACAATAGAATTCACCAAGTTAGAAGTGCGTCAACCTAGCAATTTCGTAAGGCCGGGACCCAAAGGACCCGAGTTTTCCCCTAAATCCCTTCCTTCCCGCCCTTCCCCCTCCTGATGTGCGACAAGGTCTGTTGCGACTCCTGCGCCAAGTCTTCACCCAACATGAATGATCTATGATATTTGCACCATAAATATCCATAAATCAGATCCAAAAAACCATTCCCACCCTTTTTTTCCAGATTTTTTTCCCCAAGATAAGTCTTCAAAACACGGCACCAGCGCCGTGCCCGAAGACGCCGTCTCCTGGTGCTTCACTTCGTAGGTGATGGCCTTACGGTCGATGTCGTTCCACTTCTCCTCCAACGTCTCCAGGATCTTGGCCTTCGTCATGGTAAAGTCAGACTGGAGAATTGATCTGGTTTGCGTCATATATATATATATAGATATAGATATAGATATAGATTTAGATATACCTATATAAATATAGATAGATATAGATATAGATATAGATATATAGATATAGATATAGATATAGATTTAGATATACCTATATAAATATAGATAGATATAGATATATAGATATAGATATAGATATAGATTTAGATATACCTATATAAATATAGATAGATATAGATATAGATATACATATAGATATAGATATAGATATAGATATATACCTATATAGATATAGATAGATATAAATATATACCTATATATATGTATATACATATGTATATATATATATATGTAGGTATATATATATATATACCTACATAGATATATAGATATTTAGATATATATATATATGTACATATACTTATGTATATATATATATATATATATCAATGTATGTATAGGGATAACCTGATGATATTTGTATATATATATACATATATGTGTATATCTATGTATGTATATATATATATACGTATACACGTGCAAAATTGTACAAGTAAGTATACATTCCTTAAAAACATCATTTTGTCCCACCAAAAACAAATAAGATGGCTCACAATTACCACTTCGTCAGTTTCGCACGCCGGACCAACATGAGACATGCCAAAAACAAACGTGGCTTTGGATAAGGATGTTCCCACGGCAATGACGTCTCAACCTTCCACTTGGTGCTATTTGCGATAGGTGCCCGTGGTCCATGAGGGAACCAATGGCCAGTCTTAAGCATGCACTTGGATGTCGTACTTCTAGGATGCTCCCTGCGTCCCTGCAACTGCTACATCTTTATAGTTTGCCCGAATTACCAACGTTCTCAAGCTGAAGGAACATACAGTTGGGTTTATCTGAAAATAAGGTACGGAAAAAAAATAAACATGATTAATGGTTAATCATATTTTTCCTGTTGAATGGCCAATTTACAGTATGCGTGTACCAGATTGTTTGGCAAACCCGAGGATGCAAGGCAAACTTCAACTTTTCTCTGATCCTCAGAAGCAGTCGACTCTTCCCGTTCCCGAGTCTCGCGTTGGCTTCCAGGGGCTGCGCAGTGGCACGGCAAGCACTTGAAATCGGAGGTTCGCCGATTGGATCACTAGGGGTGAATGAGATTCTTCTCTCTGACCTTGGTGTGATATGTAGATACATGTGGATATATATATATATATTTACATATATTCATTTTTTTGATTATCTATTTACTTCTTTATTTGTTTTTTATGTACTTATCTATCTATGTTTTTATGTATTTATTTATTCATTCATGCATTTTTTTATTTATCTTATCTATTTGTCTATTGATTTATTCTTTTTATTGCTTTAATCTGTTTATCTATTGATTTATCCATGTATTTGTATATTTATTTTTTTCCGCTGCCATATGCAGTTCATGCCGAACGACGCGACAGCAGCAGCTGTGGCTGCAGGCTGCCGGAGAAGCTACTAACCAGCACCTATAACACGGGACCCGATGGTTTTGTGTAGGTGGACCCCAAAACCAACGAAACGACGGAGAAGCAATCATCACAAAAGAGAAAATATACTTGAGGAGATCGGCCCCCTGACGCACAGCAGGGTTCGTGACCACTTGTCTCTCGCTTTGTTGAGTAAAACTAGAAAAGGGAGAAAGTAACAACGATGGAGTGACCGTGGTCTCCCGGCACGCCTCTGGCGGCCCCTGCGAGTTTTAGGCGTAATGGAGTTGATGTGGCTGGAAGGAAAATTATGTCTTGGCCCCTAAAATTAAAGTGGAGAGAGCTTAATGAAAAGTTGCCACCTGTGATGTGGCATGGTTTGGTCGGAGCTGATGATAACAGCTTCCTGGTGGTAGTTTACCTCCAGGCGAAAAAATCCTTATAACAAATTTCACTTTATAAACAGGGACTTTCAATCCCGTGAGAACAGGACATGGAAATTGCCACAGCCCCTTCAGTACAGAATGACGAGGAGTGCACATTCCAGCAAAGGAAGAGAGCGACAAGTAGGAGTTGGTGTGGAAGACTTCCCGCTTTGTCTTCATCTTGGAGTGAAGTGTGAAAAATCCAGAAAAATGTGCGTGGAGAAAATATCGGTGAAGGAGAAAAATAATCGCAAGCAGGAGAATAAGGCAAGGGAAACGAGACACAATGAGACCAAGTAAGAGATGGTTGACTTGGTACTGGTTCCAGGTACAGTAACTCGGAGAGAAGAGAATGTGCAAGGCCTCCCCCATAGCCTTGAGGAAGGAGTTGAATACGACAAATCCAGAATAGTGGTTGGAGAAAACATCGATGTAGAAAAATATAGCCAGAGCAACAAGCAGGAGCTGGTATATGGTGCAGAAGCGGTGTCCAAGTAGACGCTGCTTGAATTGTACACGAGGCTGACATGGCCCTGATTGGATATTCCTGAAAATACAGGGGCTTGCGAACGGAGGCTAGCTAAAGATTGTGCCCGTGCCACTGTATATATATATATGTATATATATACACATAATCCCAGGCTCCCAGGTTTTTAATATAGCAATGATATCTATATATATATATATATAAAGATATATATATATAATATGTGAAAATATGTAGATATATATATATATATCTGATAGAAGTGTAAAATCCATGAAAAATCCCAGCTCATATTTCTGGGATGTCTTGCGTTGAGAAATGCCCAACAAGATCACCCTTAGCGACCATCGAAGGTCCAAAAGTAGACCTCCCAAGCAACAGGGTCCATCATCGATGAATTGCATGCAATGGCCGTGCATCTTTTGGGTCTTTTTGTAGATATGGAGCCGCATGGAGCCATTCTTGGGCTACAAGGTGGTGCCCCATAGTTAGCTAAGTTGGTGAACATAACTCCCATAACTATAGTTAATGGGGTTTATAAACCAACTTATAACTGGGGGGCACCATCCTGTATGGGATAGCCCAAGATATTTTCCATGTCTGAATTAGGCGCAGTTGCAATCAGCACTTCTCTCCCGACAGTGGCCTCAACGGCAACCAAGACTGGCCCACTGGAACCACTCCATGCCTTTTTTTTTCACCATAAAATCGACAAAAAACGACACAGACGTTGAAAAAACATGGCCATTTCGAGATCCGAGGGGAATCCTGTTACAATCCTCAGCCGGCCTCAGCCGGCCTCGTTCCGGGAGTTCCGTTCCGAAGTCGGCAGGCGCTAGGCTCCGGCCGCACTGAGGGGTGGAAAGTGGGTCACCTCAGGCAGGCGCGCCGGGGGAAGTGGTGGTGAGCACCACTTTTTAATAGATACCAGTAAGTCATCGTAAATCATCTGGGTAAATTAAGGCCATTTGGGGATGATTCCTCTTATTAACCATGATTCCAGTGAGGTCGCAGTGAGGTCGGTATAATTTACCCAGAATCATCTATAAATGTGCCATGATCATACCTATGTAACAAATTGATACAAATTGCCAGAGGGTAGTCCAATATCCCATCTCATCATCATGTTCTCTCATAAGGTAACAAAGTTCCCCATACTGTGTCTATACTATATATGTATAGATATTCCTATATTATCCCGACGCATGTGTATATCATATATATATAGTGTTTCCCTTTTTTGTTTTCTGTATGGTTCCCAGAATTACCTTTATCATCCTATGAATAATCCAATGCCAACATACCAAATACGTCCTATCTTTTCCATTATATATAATGATATATCCAACTAAGCCACCACAAACCCACCATTTTGGGGGCGCCATCTAAACAAAAATCCCCCATCTTAATCACTATGAATCACCATCAGTCCTTATTAGCCACTATTAATCAATCTATTATATAATCACTCTACTAGTATTGGGGATGGTTTAGTATTGGATTTACCACATTAATCCTTAACATGTCCAAATGGGTAAGTAAAATACACCACTGGTTTGAACCACATATACCGCACGACTTCAAAAACCCATTGATAAGAACAAACACTATGAATCACCATGAATGAATCTTCATGAGCCATATCTACATACATACATATATATATATACATAGAAAACCATATATCAATCACTATGAACCACTGTTAATTCCATATATTTCCATATATCATACAATTATCTATGATCAGATCATTCATTTTGATAACTATATCAGCATATAATATCATATATTCATAAATATCACTATCAATCACTATGAATTCCATATATCATATATCTATGATCAAATAATCACTATTCATAGTTAAGAGCTTAACAGTGTCAACCAGATCATTAATCAAACACTAGTCATTCATCACTATTCATGTTCATAGATCACCATTAATCATAGATCATTGATCACCATTCATCAAACATAGATCATAGATCAAATCACTATTCATCACTACCCTCTGGTAAACGTTTACATAACTATGGGAAATCACCATGTGTAATTGGTAAATCCACGAACTAAATCACCATTTTCAATAGCTTTTTGTATGTTTACCAGGAGGGTAACAATCCATTTGATGGGAGAATCTCTCCCAGTGTCCCAGGCTTTCATGGGGACTTAACATCCCAGTCAGCTGAAAATAACTGTTATCATAAGGGTATATCACTATTCATCAATCATCATTAATGATCATTAATCACCATTAATCACCGTCGTTAACCATCATTACCCACCATTAATCACCATTAACCAGGAGGGTATTAATCACTATTCATCACCATATATTGCTAATGAATAGTGATATTGGTAAACTAACATAGCTATTGAAAATGGTGATTTTCACACCCAATGGTTTTGAATAGTGCTATATGGGGATGGGTCAAAACCTTGTACCCCTGGTGAACATCAAAATTGCTGGTAAATGGATGTTCATTCCCCTAAAAATGGTATTAATAGGTATTGATCCATACCCATATCACTATATGTTAGTTGCTGTTAGTTCACCATATATTGGTTCCCTCGACCCCTCCATCCCTCGACCGCCACACCGCCGCAACCGCCACGTCGCCACCACCGCCACGTCGTCGCTGCTGCCGCGCTGACGCGCCTCCCGGACCAGGCCGTCTGCCGTGCAGCCACGGGAGACCTGGGGCACCAAAAAACGCTTGGGAGGCAGCAAAAACCCACAGAATATCATGAATAGATAGATATATATATATATAATAAAAATATAATATAATATGATATAATATGATATGATAAAATATAATATGATATAATATATGATGATGATATATGTCGATACATAGATTTACAAAGAACTACGGTTGCGAATGTAAATCTGGAGATAGAGATAGGTAATGAAATTTAGTGACATTGATAAAGATTTAATGAAATTTATATAGACTGTAGATGGTATATTGACCCAGCGCAACCCAACAGCAAGTTCCAGGGTTCCGTTCGGTTCCGTTCCGGTTTTCCGGACCGACCAAAAACCGGCGAAAACCAGTCCCAGATTGATATATGATATATGATATGTGGTATAAACAATGGATAATCGAACTCAGATTATATACATAGATCATAGATCATAGACTGTATAACTCAGATGTATATGTAACATATCTATGTGAATAGATAGATAGATTTACATTGGTGTTTTGATAGATTAGCTAGGTTCATTTTTTTCATGAAACGAGATGTGGAGATGCATGTGAAATACCGGTGACTACCCATATGGTAGATTTGGTTCAAACAAGATTCGATAAGATTGGGTCAGATTAGATGAAAATGCTTCAAGCCACAAATAAGATCACAGTAGATAATGTAGATAGATAGATTAGTTTGTACATGTTTGTACGAAGAACAGTCTACGGAATGGGAAGTAGCAAAAGCACGTTGCAAACGATCACACAAATATTGAATGGCATTTCAATCATATATCTGCATATATCTGGGTAAATTTGTAATATTTAATATTTAACTGAATTAAGGCCATTTGGGGATGATTTCCCTTACTAACCATATATATATATATATGTATACATTCCCCAGCCAGGCAGACTAACAGTTCGATCGTTTTCCGAAGGGGTAAAACCCCAATGGCTGGGGCCCCTCACCAGAGCGCAGCACTCCTCATCGCTGATCACCTGGTGCACGGCGATACTGTACCCTTCCGAAAAGTAACATGTTTTCAGCTTTTCGGAGGAATCTAGCACATAGTACATATATATATATATATAAATAAATAAATAAATAAATAATGTATAGATAGATATATATATATATACTATATATATATATCATTTTATAGCTCAAAGGCCAAGGATTTCCCCCCACCATTCGCTGAGACGCATCCCATAAGCCATCAGAGGCCACCACCACGAAACTCACCTAGGGGGCCACGGCCACTGGTCGTTGCTGAAACAACTGGGTTTCAGTAGTGATTAATGATGGTTTCTATCTGCCAAAACATGGTGATTAATGATGATTAATGATGTGATTAATGATGGTTAATGATGGAGAAAATAATCTGGTTGGTGGTTTTTCGCCCTACCCCTCTGAAAAATGATGGAGTTCGTCAGTTGGGATGATGACATTCCCAATATACGGAAAAGTAAAAAAAAAAAAAAAGGTTCCAAACCACCAACCAGATGGTAAAGTCATGAGGAAAATCCCATCTGGCCAGGAAACAAATATAAATATGTGTGTGTATATATATATACATATACTAGTATATATCACATGGTAAATCCAGTGCCATCAACCTACCATGAGGGGATGGTTTATACCATACAAAATGGTGATATTGTGGGACTACCCATGGCCGTTGTAAGGCAATGGGTCAAAAGTGAAGCCCAAAAAGGGACCACATATTGAAATTAGTATATTAGTTTAGTATTGACCATCTAATTCTTGGGGTACTCAATTGTGACCAATACCCGTATATGGTTTTGTCTGACAACAAAGTATGTCATTCCATCTCATGATCATCATCATGTTCCTCGTGAAATTCTCGTCAATTGGCGGATTGTTTCCCCATGTTCAGACTAACCCATACCACATTCTGCCTTATACATTATATCGAATGTATAATTTCATAACCACACAAAATGGTTGGATTTAGACCCCCATCCGTCAATATCCCATGATCTGTACATATAGGCCTCTCCAGCCCCTTAGAACGATGGACAGCAATCATATGGTACCGAAAGTACACTCATGTCAACATCCATGTCATGAGCAGTCATAAGGTACAGAGAGCAAACTCACGATGGCATCACTGTAATGTCTTGGGGTGTTTTCGGGGGGCAATAATTCAATAACGTCGATCAATTTTCAATACTCTTAGACTCTTAGAAAAAGCTGAAAAAACTTCACATGGAATCCATTTGGACTTTACTTTTTGATACTTTTTGTAGTGCTGCACTTCCAAATTTGCTTGCAGGATTTGGGACATGAAATACCAGTGGCTCCATGGATTTCTAGGTGCCGAGAAAAACGATCAGAACGCCGCCTATAGAAATGAACCAGGTGAGAATATTGATAGGTTCAAGAGGTCGGATTACGCTACACATACATACCATATTTATATATATATAATATTATATAATACATTACAATCATACAAAAAATAGATGGCTTATACCCTATCATGTGTTTCTTTTATGTTTGTCGCGAGAAAAAAACATGTTTTTAGGACCGGTCGTCGCCCATCCTTGGCCGGGCCTCCATTAGGGGTAAGGTCATCACATCTGGGATGCAGGCGAATCCTGCAGCCTGGAGCCACTGGGCAGATGGATCTGATGAAAATAGGGTAGCCGGGTAGGTGTGGAAAATCATGGCTGCGTGGCTTCTGAAAATCCATGGCTTCTATGAAAAATGCCATTTTGGGATATCTCCGACAGGACCCCTGGATTCAGATCCCGGTAAGTTTAGATCCTGTCAGTCCCCCATCGCAGGCCTCCAAATCAAAGTTCCCCAAGCCGCGTGTCATGGGCAGCACGCCTCCCACGCGACCAAAGGATATACAGCCCCCAGCAGCTGCTATGCGCTCCACCTGCCAGGTGAAGCCACAAAAATTCTGCGCTGAGTCCAACGATCGCCAAGAAATCATCAGAATTCCTCATAACTAATAGATTTACAAAATACATGGATACAAACATAGACTCTTAGATACATATGTAATACATAGATTCTTAGGTACATATGTAATACATAGATTCTTAGGTACATATGTAATACCTCTTCATGAATCTATGTATCATTACTAATGATTACCTAAACCAGCCTTGACCGATACGCAGCAGAAATTCCCGGCCTCCTCGGGCACTCGGCAGCTGTGCTCCCGCGTCAACCGCAGCGTTCCGCTGGGTGCAGCCGCCACGCGTGCCACGGCGCGCGAGTCACCGACACTGCAGCAGCACAGCTGCTGACCATCTGTGGCCATCAACACAGCGGTGCTGCCACCCTGCAGCCTGGGAGATTTGAGGTTTTCTGGCTGACCAGGGTGAAATTGTTGATAGGGAAACACATAAAATGTGAGGCAACATCAGTAGCAACAGAAACGCGGCCGGGCTCATCATTTGGTTGGTTCAAGAGGAAATTGAGAGAAATCCATTGCTTTTGGCCAGATAAATTAAGAGGGCTTCCTCTAATTTTTCCCTTGATTCATCGATTCTCAAGTTGCTTTCCAGGCACATTTCACAGGATACAAAAAGTGATCAAAACATCCAAAATCAACCAGCAGCCCTTCAAATCAGCCCTTCAAATCTCCAGCAGGCCTCTCTTGCCTTGCCATGTCTTGGCATTTTCGCAGTACCTGTTGCCAGAAAGACAGCAAGAATATGACATGTCCAGCAAAGTGATGTAACCCGCTTGCCTCCGCATCTTGATGGTTTCACGATCCTCCGTTTGGTGTTCATATCGTTCTGAATATCAATTATATCCCTGTGGTTTGTTGCTTAATTAAATATCCATTTGGTTGTGTCCAAAAATATCATATACCCAGAAATTACCATACGTATTGTCAAACTGATTTTTCAAAAACCAGTGGCGGAATTGGAGAAATTAAATGAATATTCCCAAATATGGTTGAATCATGCTTTAAACTTCAAACATCTTTCAAAATCGTGGTGTTTCCCATGTGTTTCCCATGTATCTCCACATCTTTTCCATAGATTTCCCCATGTTTTCCCATGGTTTCGGCAGCCCCGCCCTGGGGAACCCCGGGGAACCCCGTGGCCTCCACCAGCGCCTCCGGCGCCGCGTGGCGGCGCTGGCGCCAGCACTGCGGCGCCGCCTGCGCCGCCAGGGCGGCGACCTCAGCGCCACGGTGGCCATCGAAGACGGCCACGAAGAAAGCGGCGCCAAAGGAGGCCAGGGCTAAGCGGTCCTGGGAACCATGAACATCCATGGTATATATATATACAGTATATACAGTATATATGATTTTGGGATGATAGGGATGAACATCCATGGTTTTTAATGGTTTTTTCTGAAAGGTCACTATCTATAGTCCTGGGTTTTTTTCATGGCATATATAGTATCTATATGTATCTATAGTTGTATAAAGCCCAATTCTAAACTATAGTCACTATTTTTTTTTGGATGATAGGGGAGATCATGGGAAGATCATGGGAGATTTAAGCAACAGGTTTTCTCATGGAATGTGTGTGGAATTCTGATGAGATTTACACATAACTATAGGGGATGATACAATGGGGTGTAATGGGGATTAAGCGTGGATGGATAGATAGATAGATAGATAGGTAGATAGATAGATAGATAGATATACACAATTATAATACACGTAAAACATTGCAAATATTGGTGGATTGATATCCGGAAAGTAAGTTCGTTGAAATGTCAAACTCTGTTTCCGCAGGAGATGAATTCGGCAGTGTCAAGGCTGTCGGCGCAGGACCAAGGTACTCAGCAGGATGGTTTGAGACCTCATGCCCAAAAAAAAATATGCCATCAAAAAAACATGACATAACATGGGGGGTGCAAGACGCGTCCAGTCCTCACGTTTGGAAGACTGGTCCAAAGCAAAGCTGCAAGGATATTGGCACTGGACGCAGGCATCCTGGATGTGAAAAAAACATGTTTTTTTCACGACATTTGAGGAGATCTCCTACTGTATGATCCCAGCAGCAAGAATTGGGGTGTACGATTGACTCATTTTCATCTTGGCGTCATTTCGAGGATAAAGGCTATAACGGCTATGAACCGAAATTGGGTGGGTCCAATTCGTGCATATCCACCTGTCCCCTTTCAGGTCGCATGAGTTTGTAGACATTTCGGGGATCGGAGTTAGACAAATCATGGCCGGGAAATCCGACTGTTTTAATGGGAATTCATCTTTCGGTGGGTGTTCCATTGCCATGTTTGATATTGTTTGATCAGATTACCAGAGGATACCCTCTGGTAATTTAACATAGCTATTGAAAATGACCATTTATAGTGGATTTACCCATTGAAAATGGTGATTTTCCATAGTTATGTTAGTTTACCAGAGGATAAATGCTAACTTGATAAAGATTGATGATCAAATCCTCAAAAATGAGTGTGAACATTCTGCAGAACTGGGAATTTCGGTAATCAATCAAAAAAATAACTCCCAAAATATCAAAAGGCAAGAAAAACAACCCATGAGTGACATTCGGAGTATATACAGTGTGTGTATGTATATATATATATTATGGATCGAAAATGTGGTGTACCATTTTTTTGCCATAAAAATAAATTCAGGTGATATCCCCAACAGCTTGAAAGCTTCTGCGTTTGTACCATGAAAAGTGCTTATGCCATAAAAATTAAGCGCTCACGCCATAAAAATTAAACGCCTATGCAATTTTTAAAAAAAAAACGGAACCCTTTGGAATTTCACAAAGCATCTGCACCAGAACCCTCGGGAACCTCACAAGGTCTCTGCACCGGAGCCTTCCGGAACCTCACAAGGTATCTGCCCCGGAACCCTCCGGAACCTCACCACGCATCTTCACCTACACCCTCCGGAACCTCATCAGGTAGCTGCACCGGAAACTTCCGGAACCTCACCAGGTACCTGCACCAAAACCCTCTAAAACTTCCGGAACCTCACAAGGTATCTGCACCGGAACCCTCCGGAACCGCACAGAACCCTCCGGAGCCTCAGCAGGTATCTTCACCTACACCCTCCGGAACCTCGCGAGGTATCTGCACCAGAACCCTCCGGAACCTGGTGTTGAAGCTTAACCGGATCGCACCGGAGCTCATCTTGGCTAAAGACCCCATAGCAAAGTTTTGCTGTTGGGGAAAAATCAGAATTAGTACAATGTGAGGCCCCCAAGATATAAGTTGGTTTATAAGCCCCAGTAACTATAGTTATAAATACCATAAACCATAGTTATTGGAGTTATAAACCAACTTAGCTATCTTGGGGGCCTCACATTGTAGGAAACCATCCCACCTTTTGGGCTGCTCGGTCGCACCTCGCAGCGTTGCAGCCACAGCGGCTTCGTCGGTGTGCAGGGCGGGCTGCGGCGCTGTGGAGTGGTGATACAGCCGCTGGGTGGCTGCCGCGGAGTGCGAAGCTCCATGGCTTCAGGGCTCCAAAAAAGGTTCCAAGAGATGAAAAAAAATGGAGGATGAGTTCACTCGAAATATCTAGAAATATCTAAAAATATCTAGAAATCGCCTGAAATGTGGATGCATGGTATTGTAAAATGTTGTAAATCTGTTCTAGAATCATGGATTTCGAAATGTGGCGTCGGGAACAGGTGGATTGGACCCAAACTCACGTTGTCATTGCTCCATGCTTACCATCTCCGCAGCCTGACGATGGGTCGAGACGGATATGTACAAGGAAGTTCTGAGCCGAAAGAATGTCATCCGGTGCTATGGTCTGGTTTCGCCCACAGAAACGAGGTCTGCTCCAAAAAAATGAACATCAAAAAACTAGAATCTGGAATAACTAGAAACTGCAAAATTTGGTGCTGGGCCCAAATCATCCCACATCCTACATCATCCTAATAGCTATTAGGTTCTGTGCATCCCTGGCTAAGAAATCATGCCATGAATTCCCCACGGGCGCGCCTTCTCTGTGTCCTCCTTTCGGCTACTCTGCCCACTCAGGGTGATGTACCTGCCCCATTTCACCAGCACCGTGATGGTTGATAAGCCATGAAATTTCCATAGTGATTCATGGGGATATGGGGATCAAAAATATGGATTAATAACAATTACGGCTAATAATGATATATGTACATATATATATATTCATATATATATATATATAAAATCATATATATATAATCATATATATATAATCATATATATATATATAATCATATATATATAGTTATAATCATACATATATATATATAATCATATATATATAATAATATATGTATATAATCATATATATATATAATCATATATATATCTATAATCATATATATATAATCATATATATATAATCATATATATATATATAATCATATATATATAACCATATATGTATATAATCATATATATATATAATCATATATATATATCTATAATCATATATATATAATCATATATATATAATCATATATATATATAATCATATATATATATATATATATTTTTATAATCATACATATATATATAATCATATATATATCATCATATATATATAATCATATATATATAGTTATAATCATACATATATATATATAATCATATATATAATAATATATATATAATCATATATGTATATAATCATATATATATATAATCATATATATATAATCATATATATATATAATCATATATATATATAATCATATATATATAATCATATATATATAATCATATATATATAATCATATATATATAATCATATATATATATATTTATAATCATACATATATATATAATCATATATATATAATCATATATATATAATCATATATATATATATAATCATATATATATAATCATATATATATTTATAATCATACATATATATATATATATAATCATATATATATAATCATATATATATATAATCATATATATATATAATCATATATATATAATCATATATATATAATCATATATATATAATAATATATATATATAATCATATATATATATATATAATCATATATATATATTTATAATCATACATATATATATATATAATCATATATATATATAATCATATATATATAATCATATATATATATAATCATATATATATATAATCATATATATATATAATCATATTCATATATATATATAATCATATATATATAATCATATTTTTATTATCATATATATATAATCATATATATATAATCATATGTATATATATATATGCATATTAATGTAAGAGGTTGATAAACATTGCCAGTCTTAGATTCTGCGGTTTTTACGACACATGACCCCTCTTCCGAGATCCGTTTGACTTTCGGGGATCATCCCAATGGTCCTATGGTCCTATGGCTGGTAATGTCAACGACCCCTCAACGAATGGTGGGTACCCTCTGGTAAACATACAAAAAACTATGGAAAATCACCATTTTTAATGGGAAAATCCACTATTTCTATGGCCATTTTCAATAGCTATGTTAGTCATTACCAGAGGGTACCTAAGGTGGGTACCTAAGGTGGGTACCATTTATGACTTGTGAGTGGCATGAAAATTCATCACGAAAAAAAAGGGACCAAAAAAAAGACTTCGTGGTGATGCACCTGGGCTTGAAGAGGAATCATCACAAATATTTCTTCGGATATTTGGATGTGGTTTGATAATCATAATTTGTATCAGGGTTCAGATAAGGGGGGAGGAGTTGTGCAGAGGATTTTGATAGGTACAAGACACAAAGCATAGGGTGCGCAAGTACAAAATACAGAACACAATTTAATTTGACTCGGAAAATAATTCAAAATATGCACTACAAAAACCAATGCATCTGAAGTTGAAAAATAGCTGAAAATCGGAAATGCTAACATGAATTTTCCCAATAACATTTTGTAGTTGGGTCTATGCCATCCAAAGTTCCGACCAACATAATTTCAGTAAACATTTTGGGGGTGACGTCGTGACGTCGAACTAAATCGTACAGATTTTATGGATGCTTCAACTTCCTCAATATGTATATATATATATATGCTAACAACTACAAAATGCAAATGAGATTTTATGTTGGATGCTTCAACTAGCCAACTTGTACAACTACAAAATGCTAATGATATTTTGTGTTGGACGCTTCAACTAACTCAACATATACGACTACAAAATACAAATGAGGATTTGAAAGGAAACAACTACAAAATGAATGCAAATACAAAAAGGTTGGCCCAACTCCACTTTTTTGTACAAAACGACCCCTGGCTGGCAATCTGTACTGTAGCCCAAGTCCTCCCCTTTATGTAGCTGTTATTTGATCCCGGTTTAATTTGTGATATGGGGGGTTCCTCAAATGGGGGTACCCCAAATCATTCATTTTAATCAGATTTTCCATTATAAACCATCCATTTTGGGGTACCCCGCCTTTATGGAAACCCCCATATGGGTCTGAAAATGGACATACCAATTTATGGCCATTCTCATCTCGCCCTCCATTGCTTTCCTGGTGCTTGGAACACTCAAGCTGAAGGGCCTGAATTCTTTCGGAATCAAACTCCGGTTCCGTGAACTCCCCCCAATCATAGATAGTAAATTGGTTCCCTTCCTAGTGGTGGTTAAGATCTGCCCTTAACAAACCAAAAAGTGGTCACCAAAAAGGGGGAGATGGAGGGCTGGTTTTCGTGAGGTGTCAAAGCATCTCCATTGTCCGATGTTCGCTGCATATCATAGCTGTTCATTTCTTTCACATCCCTAAAATCAGTATATTTTTCATTACAGTATATACTTTGGCCGTTTCACCATGTTTCACCCAAAAAAAAAACAAACACCTCCGACACCTCCGTTTTTTTGCACCAAACACTCTCCATCCTCGAGGCGCACTCTTCCTTGTACTCTGCGATCTGCGTTTCCAACTTCTCGATCTCTGCGCTGAGTTCGTTGTTATACTTGAACAAGGAGAAGTTGGTGTCCTGCGGCTTGTGACCATTCCTATTGGACGTCAAGCATTGCTAAACTCAGCATTTTGTGGATCAATAGTTGGCATCTTTCACCTCAAACCACCTCACTGTCCTCGGCATCGATGAAGTTTTGCACCAGTTGATCAATGTCACAAATCCCCGTTGCAGCCTGAAACAAGACACACCTCTGGCAGATTGATGCCAACGCTGATTTTCTTGTCGACTCAAGTTGTCCAAGTTCATCTCCATATATTCATGCATATTCATGTGGCAGTGTGTCAAAACCTTGTACCCCTGTAGTTCACATCAAAATAGCTGGTAAATGGATGTTCATCCCACTAAAAATGGTATTAATAGGTATTGATCCATATCCATGTATGTTCCATATTCTATGGCTGAAATCCATGCGTAGAATCTTGGTGCAATTCCCCCAGTTTCTTGGCGATGATCCGCCTGGATGCGAGCAAAGGCCTCCTCATAACTCGCCACCTGCGGTCGATCCCATGTTGCTGCGTGAAAATTCTGTGGATGAACATATAGAAAAAAACGCTCTATTGATCACCTATTAACATCTATTAACCTATATAATACATGTGTAAATATATATATATATAATTATATATACCAGTCCTCACGCCAAGTCGGAAAGCTGCCGAGGCCGCCCCTTGGGCCGCCCTCTAGCCCCCCCCTTTTTCACGCCCCAGGGGATCCTGTTCGGCCGGGCCTTGTCCTGATTGGAGGTCATGGTCACCAAAGATTCCGTCGTGTGCCAGGTATGCCTGGCCATCGGCCATTGGCCATGACGGATCTCCCTGGATCTCCCATAGAAAAACAAAAAAACACAAAAAACCAACCATACTCCACCATTGAAATTTTGCATCCCCTCCCAGTTTTGGATGCAACTTGAGATCCCAACTTGGTGATTTTCTTCTTGTGTTTGTCCTCCTCCTTTCCTTCACCTCGACGGGATCGATAAATCGACAATCCAGCCAGCCACAAAATACGTATCAAATTGGATGTGAGAAACTGTATGAAACTGTGAAATATATGTCTTTTTGGGGACCTCTAAGAATCTCTTGGATAGATTTCGACGTGATTTCAAGCATAAACATTCCCCCTGGGGATCCAAAGTCGGATCCAGACGCCAGACTAGGACGATTGGGGATCCAAGCCATCTTCCTTGTTTCCGCGCACCTGCCAAGTTTTGCCATCTCTCGGTTGTTTCTTTCATCAGGGGAGGAGAATGTCGGAATGTCCCATCACCCAACTCTTCGGATCATCTACAACCATCAGAAGGGGTGTTTCAATCCGCCAACTCTTGGTGAGACATACTACCACAATCCGCCAAAACGGTACATTATCACCCCCTGATCCTGTTGCCATGGTTGTGTGCCACAAGGATTGTGGGTAAATTTCGAGTGTAGCCAAGATCAAAGTTCTCTCAGCTGGCCCAAGTAATGGATATGATGAACATCCCAGCAGCTGAAGAATTTGTGGAAAGTCTTTCGGGGATAAAATAATCACCAAAATTCTTGCAGAGTTGACTTCGAACTAAAGTGCTGGCAATTTCTTAGGACCACCGAAACCCTCCAATTGGTTTTTCCTTTTGTTTCTTCGAAAGTGATGGGGCAAAACAAACACCGTGTCTTGTTTTTCAAATAAAAAACAGGTCATTGTTTTAAAAGAAAAATTTTACTGTAACATACTGTAACAAATACTATTGCTAATCCTCTGGTTATTTAATATAGTTATGGAAAATGATCCATTTATAGATTTTATGATTGTCAAGCAGAAATCAGTGCAAACAAGTGCAAACCGCAAGCGAATGCAATGGATTTTCTGCCTGTGGTGAACGTAGCTTCGGCTGAAGTACTACAGGGGTTTTGGGCCGATAGGCCATTGCAAAAGAGTGGATCAAGTAGCTTCCATGCCACTTGTTTCAATCAACATTCTTTCAATTTGTTTGTTAGCACGGAGCTGGGGTACTTGGTCCTTGTGAAATACAGTGATCAACACGGGCACTGTACATCCAATCAGTTCGTGTTGATTCGGCAAATCTTGCATGGCCACTGCATTCTCTAGCTTACGCCACACCTTCTCGGTCGGGCTAAGCTCAAATCTGCCAAATGTCGTGCGCAATGGAAATTCTTAAACGCTAAAGCGGGGCTCAGGAGTACAAAAACTTTTCGCAGCGCATGCTACTTGAAGGCCAATTCCAGCAAGAAAATGCCATCCTCTCTTTTCACACAATCCATGCAAATAAGGCATGATGGGATCGTTCCCATCCACAGCGACTCCAGGCATCTCAGCGCTTGCTGACATCTGTGTGATTGGAGATTTGCAGCTGCGCGCCTTCAACACGATGAATTCTGGGCTGGAGCTGATGCTCCAAGTTCCTTTTGAGATGATGGATCTCATGTGACAGGTCCATCTCCTTCGTCCCGCCATCTACCCACATATTCTCTGTTGCTGTCCATTTCAAGGCAGTGTTCGGCTTGCGGAGAGATCACCGTCAGCCAGACATGCAAAGTAGCAACCCTGAGAGTAGGTCTTGGTGATGGATTCGCCGGCATTTGAGCCGGGCCATCACGTTGTACGTTTCCGAGCGCGGCGTCGGAGACCATGACGATTCCAGCCGTGCGATATAATCGATTGCACGAAAAATCAGTTCAAATTTGGAAGTCAATTTGAATGCCTTCGCCAGGGAGTTCGCCCTCAAGATCGTAGAAATCGTGGGCGGGCTCTCTCCTTGAAGTGTTGACACCTGAAAGCCCATATCGAATCGAACTTGTGCAACCAACCATTGGAAGCTTCCAAGCAGTGCTCGAAGTGTCTTCGTCTCCGTCGCATCCAGCTTGGACGATGGATCTGATTTGCGGTGGCGAGGCAAAACTATCTCTGTCTGTCAGGCTCTCATGGTATTCATGCATGCTCAAACAGACAGTTCCATCACTTGCCCTTCTGATCCTTTTGCCACACCAGGTGAAATCAGTCTCACAACTTCCAAGACCTAACTCGGCGCCTATGGCATCCAATGAAGCCTTTCCAGCTGCACCACCTGCGAACAAAAGATCGTCCACATGTGCGACAACTACGGCCTCCAGGATCTTCTCACCAGCATCATTGATGACCCAAAAGCACCGCATTGCAGCATCTATCAAGGTTCGGCACCAACCATGCTCTGCCATGGATCTTGACAAACGGAGCCACCATTCTCTGGGGGCGTCCGCCAGCACAAATATTCCTTTCAACACTCAGCAAAGCTGACCAGGTGTCAAAGGAATCGGCGGATTGCGCCTCTCATCCACACCACAAAGGTAGAGCTCTCTTCTGAGGTACGGATCTCCCTTCAAAAAGGCGCTTTTCACATCTGCAGCAATCAGCATCCAATGTGTAAAGAAAGCAGCCAAGGAGAAAAGAAAATGTTGAGCCATCCATGAACCAGTTGAGGCATCAGATCGGAGATTGCCTTCCAAGTCGCTTTTGTCCTTATAGCCTGGCACAACGATGTGGCTGCTTGCCTTGATAGGCAAAGGATGAGATGCCGTGCGAAGTCCATAATGTTTGTCCGTCAGAACGAAATTCGATCCAGTTCCGGGCATCGAGCCAGATCCTTTCGGACTTGCATTGATTCTTGCATGGACAACACTTGGATTGCATTGTGGTCAACGTAAGCATTCCATCCTTGGACAGTAGCGTCACGCCATAGAGTCTTCTTTGCAGGAAACAGCTGGGTCCAATGATACTCTTTGCGAGAAGCTTGTATGGTCAGAGCATCAGAACAACCATCTTCTGCTGCACCACAAGGGGGTTGAGAACCCTACTCACGCATGAGCTCCCAATCACGCTCGCACAATAAAAAACATCTTCCATCCAAGGTACAGGTACCGTGGTCATACTCCAAGCACTCCTATCCAGCTCCACCTCAACTTGCAGTCGAAGTAGGGGATGTGCACCTGGACCAGATTCAACTACATTGCATCAAAGTTGCTCCCATGTCATGGTGAAAGCTTCAAAGGCAGGTTTCGCTTCCACAGGTCCAGAGTCTGGCGGACCGGCATCATCCCGAGCAACCTCACCTGCTCGTGAAGGACGCGCCAACTCTTCAGAAGCAGCACGCTTGACACCACGTTCAGTGTCCAAAGATCGAGCTCTGGCCATAGAGGATTGCAATGACGTAGTGCTTGGCAATCTCGAGCGCCCACGTTCAGGCTGTTGATCTGGCATGCAACATTCAAATTCTGCGTGTCAGAACCAAATTGAGAAGCCACATCTGCAAGCATCGACGATTGTTGCCTTGTGGTTGTAGAGCTGCCACAATCTCAGAGTTGGACAAAACAGGAGGTGCAAGGACAGCAGTGAAAGGAGCTGGTGCTGCTGCCCATCAAGACCATCATCCAACGATTCAGGCTGTTGCGCTGGCAAAGCATCATCGGCAACAACGTCACGTTGTGCTGCTTTCAGCACATCATCTATTGCAGCCTCCCAAGAACCAGCAGCAATCTTCTCAAGTGACGATGCCTTCCGGACATGTTCCATAGGGCACTTGCAGAGCTGGCCGCGAAACGACACAAAACAACTTGCAGCAAACCCAGTGCCGTTGGCACCTTCTATTGCAACAAGTAGCCCAGGCCATGCCATCGTCGTAGTTGAAGTCGACGCCCTGGACATCCACTGGCCATCTCTTTCTTGCTTTGGTACTTCTGTGCTCTCCAAAAGAAAACAAGATCACCAGGCTGTGGGGCATCTTCTGCAGTGGATCTTCTGGAACGGGCCAACTCAGCTTGACGAAGACCTCGACTGTAATGAAGTCGCACCATTGCCACTCTGGCCGTCTCTCTAATCGCCGCCTGCCGGGCCATTGATGCATCAGCTTCCAAAAGTGAGTGCTCTGCCGGATGTCCAGAGAAATTGTTCAAGACATCACCAGCAAATCGAGGATTGCGGCCTGCGACAAGCTGCAAAGGGCTGATGCTGCTCTCATTGGGGTCAGTGCTGTAGGCTGATACAGCTTCACCAACTGCCTCTTGAATCTCTGACAAGGTGCTCACAGCATGCGTTTGGCATATGGCTCCTGTGATCGCCTTCAAGGTTCCACCTGACCTTTCAGTATTATCCCATTTTCCCACGGTGCACCGACTCCTATGTGATATAGGTAGATTGATTTGGAGTCGCACCAATCACCATAAGCAGCAGAAATAAATTCACGTCCTTGGTCTGCTACAAGTGTGTGAGGAGGCCCCATCAGTGGAAACCACTGGACGGTCATGACATGAATCACTGCCGCACTTGACTAGTCTTCCAATTTTCAAAACTCTCGCAGCTTGAGATCGGGAAACGTGGTCTGTGCAGTGAGCCACAACGTATTGCCTTCGCAATGAGTCCTCCAAAATCACCAAATCCAAATGCACCTGCTGACCAACTTCGCTTGTTCTCTTTGAGCGTAGCCACCACCGGTCGAACCTTGGCCTGCAAAATG